TTAACTTCTAATTCTCATCCCTAGGTTACACTAACGAGCAATTAGGTTCTAGTTTTATTGTACTTTCACTAAAGGGACCTGTTTCTGTACCTCATGAATATTTTATCTCAGTCATTACTGTCAGGTACAGTCAGCATCAAAAGTTGATAACCACATTTAGATTTTCAACATCGCTGTACACCGTATTATGCCTAAATCAGTCAACATGACAAGCTCTACAAATAAATGTTTATCATAAAAGTCAATTAGTAGGTGGCATCATTTATTGAACGTCGCTAAAGAAAGCTATAATAAAAAAGCATAACTAACATACTTCGTCTCTAAATTTTTAGACAAAAAAAAAAAAATTTTTATTTTCGTTCACAATGATATAACCTACGTGTATGTGACGTATTACGTGACAGTATTGATGCTGGCCGGTTACATTTATCTTCTTTTACTCTATGGCCAAAATCGACATGCAAGACAAAGAATATTTTTATACTTTATTACTAAGGTATGTTTAGCGACTTTTGAAAAGTAATTGTCACCTATTTGTGCCCTTTTATAATTATTATTTATTTGTAGTGGATGTCATGTTAAACGATTTAGGTATATTACGGTGTACATTGTACAGTGACTTTGAAAATGTAAATGTGGTCATCAACTTGTGATGCTGAGTGTCTAACCCTAGTCTAGAATTTATGAGGTCAGAATTAAAGCCTCTTGTTGTTTTAAGTTTACAGGTATTTTAAATATTTTGGGTTTCATCGAGACTCTCAAATTCTTTTTTAGTTTCAAAGTTATTCATGAATTCTCTTAGCTTTTGATGTATCTGTTTTTAGTGTTTCTATTTCGAATTCAAGATTTGAATTTGAATTTCAGTAAAGTTACTTTTTATTTTTTTTTTTTTCTTTATATTTTGTGATTCTGTCTGTGCTAGCTCATTTAGTAATTCTGTCTGGTCGTTTCGCTGACCATTTTCAAAATAAAGTTAGTGTCAAGAAAAATTCTTGTAGTTAGAGCCTTTGTATTGACTTTTGACATTTTTTGTAGTCTCAAGTACGTATATTCCTAAATTCAACTCTTAGTAAAGGTTTTCCAAATTAAATTTATTAATTTACTAGCTTCTGCCAGCGGCTTCGCCCGCGATCCCAGGGGTAAAATGCCTATGTATCACTTCAGACCATAATCTACCTCTGTTCCGAATTTCATTCCGGTCCCTTCAGTCGTTTTAATATGACTGAGTAACAAACATACACATAAACTCACATATTTTCATTTATAATATCGAGTCAAGCTAATTTCAACCATTGGCCTTTCAGTTACAGCGTAAAGTCTATGAATGAGTATTGTAAACGTTAGAATAGTAGACAAATACAATCAGAAATCACCGAATTGCTAAGCTATCGGGAGTTTCACGTGTTATTGTGAGTCAACCATAAAAGATAGACATATGCTATCGAGGAATATTTTTTTTATAATTTTAAGGAGAATATTTCCGTCATACATGATTTCTATGTAGCTTTAACCTATAAGCCTGCAAACGCGACGGAAGCTTAAAAAATGGAATAACTTCTCCCGTTTTCCCAATATTTCCCTTCACTGCTCTGCTCCTATTGATCGTAGCGTAATGAAAAGTATACTATAACCTGCCCAAGAGTATGAAGAATAATTGTGCCAAATTTCGTTAAAATCCGTCGAGTAGTTTTTGTTTCCATAACGAACATACAGACAGACAGACAGACAAAAATTTTACTGATTGCATTTTTGGCATCAGTAGCGATCCCTAACCACCCCTTGATAGTTATTTTTTAAATATATTTTATGTACAGAATTGACCTCTCTACAGATTTATTATAAGTAATAGATAGATTTATTTAATATACTTTATTGCACACATTTAAGTAGCTTAAAAACAAAAAAATCAAGTATATATGCGTACAATGGGCGGTCTTATTTATTTAAGGGCAACCAATAAAACATACACCAAAATACAGGATATATTTTCAACATATTTTAACATTGTGTAGTGTAGTCTTAATTAAAGGCTGCCACGACATGCATTAAACAAAGAACTAAAAATATTACAGCAAAAAGTTTACTTATCAAAAAAAGACATCATTATAATAATTGTTAAATTTTAATACGAGTGAAATATAACATAACATAACATCACGCCTTTCTTCCCCGAAGGATTAGGCAGAGGTGCACATTACGGCACTTAATGCCACTGTATCATGTAACACCCACTTTTCACTATTTTATGTTATGAGTCCCATGTAATAGGGCGTGAGGCTATTGCCATATACCGGACACAATGCCAGACACCGCGCTAACACTAATTTTTTTTTAAACCCGGTAATAGTTTACCCGTGAATCGAAGACCCCGAGGCCCCTTGCCGTCGTACGTGCGACCATTAGGCATCCTCGAGTGAAATATATTCTGGAGTTAACTCTGTGAGAATGTGTTAAGCAAGACAGTTTGCATTTTGTAAATAACCTTTTTCTACAGTAAACACGAAACCTTCGCAATCGCAGTTTGCAACTTAACCAATGTAGCGACCGAAAGTACAAGTAAACAACTTAACTACATTTATTAGTTAGTGAAAAGGAAACTAGTAGTTTAGAAACTTACTTTCTCTAGTCCAAAGAAATAAATCAGAGCATTTCTGATACTTACCACGGACACACGAACAAAACCTTTGCGGAACTTCCACTGAATTAAAGTGACTGGAACATTCTTCCATCTTGTTTTTTAACAAACCAATGCTGGACAGATTTTTAGCTTAGAAATTCTTTATGTTGAGATTAATTTTGTTTTCTTATGTTTGTTTTGTGTGCTATCGCTGTGTTTAAGGTTCTAGTTTTAAGGCGACTTGGTTTATTTTTGTGTTTACTTAAGTTAAACTTAATAACACATTTAGATTAAAACTTTCGTGAGACATACTAAATTAAGTATTATATTTTCGGCTTACTCCCGTAATTGTTTGACGGGGAACTCGACCAGTTTCAAGCCATGCTAAGAGCTCATCATCCAGTATCTGGTACTCTTATACACCTGCTCCGAAGCTTTAAATTTACATGTAGCATAATTGTGAGATCGAACTATCAACACAGTGCCAAGTTAACATACTCTTTGTTGTCCCTGAGACGCTGAGACTTCAGTGTTCCGGTGTTTTCATGGTTGTATCTACTGTAGATCTTGGCTTACAGGAGTTGTAGCGGTTTTGGGAAGATGTGGCGGGCTTGTCTCATAAAAAAAATACTCTTTGTTACCGAAACTAATATTTTCATTTTTAAACATAAAAAAATATATTATGCAAATATTTAACGTACAATATAAAGTAATGTAAGTCAAAAAGATATAAAAGAATTTATATTTAAACTAAAACAATATGAATGCTAATAAATTGATAATTTTCATTTCAAAATCTCATCTTGAGACTTTTATTAAATCGTGAAAGTTTTCATATAATACCTTTTTTTATTAATACCACCTTTTAACTTTTACTACAATATTAGAATGAAAATATTCATTTTTCTTTCTTTCTGTAATATCTCGTAGTTTTTTCTTTATCTTTGTAGGGTTATTTTAATGAATACTTTCTTTGAAGTCTCTAATTGGTCTTGAAAGTTATTGGAGCGCTCTTATATTGTATGTTTCCATTGAAATTACAATTTTGCATGCCTTTGTGAATATATTTGTTTGTTATGTCGGAAGGGTATACAATTATACGTGAAGGGGTAACATAATCTTTTCGTAAATAAAATGTAATGTATGTTTATTTTCCGCATTCCGTGTGAAACAGGAGTTGATTTTTTGTTATACGTTTGTATGTAACTTCAGGCTTCGTGGAGAACCTAACGGGTTGTCGGAGCTCCGGTTCAAAGCATAGATACGGGTTTAATCGTTTTAACCGTTTGGTCAAAAAAGATAAAACAAACAGATTAACTATGAGCTCTAAACTCTAAAAAACAAAACATACAGATATCTATAAAGCAAATAAAATGAAGAATGAATCAATATTACGAGTAATTTATCACAGGGGCTGATCTCTTTGTTGCTTTGTTTATATATTGTACATACAATTAGACATCGACCTAAAAAAATCCAGTGTATCATGAACTCGTATTGTATAATCTCTCCATATATTCAAGGGTCATTTTATACTGGTTTTATATAGCTTGATGGAACCGTGTGTCAATAAGCTATACAAAAACCAGTTATATCATAGTCCCGCATTGTATGATCCTTCCACACACTCAAGGATCAGCTTATATTGGATATCGTAGTTTGACGTGTATCTGTGTACATACATGTTGATAGCTGTACCATTATTCATGGGTTTTCGATTTTATTGATGTTGTAAAGTAAAAAGTGTTTTTGTGCGCCATTTTGTGAAAATTTTTTTAGATAGCTTTCTTTGTATGGTTAAATGAATACGGGTGTTAATACACAATGAGTGTCATGTTTGGATTTTGTACTTCTATCTATTGACTGCCTATGTTGGCGGAGTGGTCGTAAATGCGACTGCGAGGCATCTCTGGTTCGAATCCCGGGTCGGTGCCAAATACCAGATTTGCGCCCGGTATATGGTAATAGGTTCACCCCCTATTACATGGAACTCATAACATAAATAGTGAAAAGTGGGTGTTACATTGTACAGTGGCATTAAGTGTCGTAGGTAATATGCACCTCTGTCTACCCCTTCGGGGATGGATAAAAGGCGCGATGTTATGTTATGTTATCTATTCATTAATTGTTAACTATTATTACGATCAGGATACGATATAGGTACATCTGGTTTAATCTTTCAATTATATTTAGTAGATTTCATATTGTAGAGAGGCTCTGATATTCTAGACTCCGTAAGTATCTAGAAACTGTAGGTACTTAGGTTAAGGACTCACGACGCGATTTTCACCCGCTCCAGCCGCGGTTGCAGAATAGAATTATATTTTCTAAATCCTTAACCTTAATGTTTTGCATTCCGAGTAATGGTAAACAAGATAATATAATGGGTGGGTACCTTTTCCTGTTCATAAACCTTTTTCAATCATTATCTTCGTCTTTGAAGATATTCACTATTTATTAGATAAAATAATATTGACTGCCTCGTTGGCCGAGGGCAAGCGTATCGAGTTCGATTCCCGGGTCGGGTTAAGTATTACTGGGTTTTTTTAAAAAAACTCAATAGTAGCACGGAGTCTGGAATTGTGCCCTGTATATGGCAATAGGCTCACCTCTTATTACATGGAACTCATGACAAATAGTTTACATTGTACAGTGGCATGTGCACCTCTGCCTACCTCCTCGGGGAAAAAAGCCGTGATATTATGTTATGTTATAAAATAATATTATTACAACAAAACTAAGTACTTAATCTCTTTTATCTACTATTAAATTGTATCACATTAATTCCTCCATTGCTTTCAAAAATATTTATAAGAATTTTCATAATTCTAGTAGACACTCTTTGCTCTGGTATTTCCAGGCCTGAACTAATGCGTGCAAAGTATATTTTAATGTACCTACCTAATTCTTTGAAAGGATAACCTAGAACCTGAAAGAGGAAAATGTATAGACATGTCAAATAAAATATTCCTCGTGTTCTTTTATTATAATGGTAGGTATAAAATGTAACATTATTCCAGTTTGTTACTAAGAGGATATTTTTACTATATATCACAAAGAATTTATGATAATACTAGCTTTTACCCGCGGCTTCGCTCGCGTCACAAAAGGATAAAAAGTAGCCTATGTGACATATACCAATACATACAGCGCCATCTATACCAATACTTTTGTTTTCTCTCGGGAATATCAAAATTTTTCGGGATAAAAAGTACCCTATTATTAACCCAGACTACTAACTTAACGTCTGCAAAAATTCAATGCAATCGGTTTAGTAGTTACGGCGTGAAGTCGGAACAAACAAACAAACTCACTTTCTGATTTATAATATTAGTAAGGAAGTAAGGATTGAATCTTAAATAAAGTAGGCGGAATCTGTACAGAGCACTGTCGAAAAGCTTCCATCACATGTGAATAAGAACCTATATTTAGTAGTTAGGTACCTATATCACGCCTTTTTTTTGAGGGGGGAAAATCATCGAATGACTTCTCCCGCCCGGGTGAGGTGAGAGGGAGTGTCAGACTCTTACTGACTAAAAACCACCCCGTTCCTTCTCCTGCACGTCGAGCCGGAGCCGCGACTCCGAACCTATATCGCGCCTGGCCAAGTATTTCATGTCATTTCTGTCCGTCTATTTAATGTTCACCCAGTCTACGTTAATTCTTAAACAATTAGACTTTAATGAGATCACTATCTCTTGCAAAAGCGATGGAAAAGGACATAGGATAATATATAACATCACGTCTTTTGTTCATGGAGGGGTGCACATTACGGCACTTCATGCCACTGTACAAAATAACACCCACTTTGCACTATTTATGTTATGAGTCCCATATAATAGGGGGTGAGTCTATTGCCATATACCGGGCACAATAGAATTCCGGTATATGGCGAAATGCTAAAAATAATCAAAATCCTTAAATAACTTTTCAATGCCTAACGAAATAACACATCAAAATGTCTCGTATCCTTTCATTACAATTATAACGACCTGTCTATCTATTTGAATAAAAATAATTTTCCGTGCGTTCGTCTCGCTAAAACTAGAGAACGGTTGAACCGATTAGGCTAATTTTGGTCTTGAAATCTTCGTGGAAGCCTTCTCTGGACATTTCAAGACTAAAATAGTTGTCACCGGGTTTAAAAGGTAAGAAACAAGTTCGCCGGGTCGGCTAGTAAAAAATACCCATGTTTTGTACCTGATCAAGGAAATTTTTAATAAAATATACTACAAAGAGTTTCTTCCATTAAATTGTAATTCGCTTTCCATGTTCTTTTTTTCTGATTTCTGTGGGTGTTCTTAATTAGGCTGTTGCTAACTTCCTTTCTACAACTTAAATATGAAATGTTTAAATAGTATTTGGATCCTATTTACCACAAAGGGTACTAAGGAATTCCTTGTTTAAACCGTCATCTTCAGAAATGCTCTGACAACGTCTGAATGTATTCATGACTAAAATTAAATGTTTAGAATTCATCTTCACCCAAATACCAACGTCAAAGCAAGCTTTTGTGGTGGATAAAATAACTATAAATAAGGTCCATCATTTTCATGATAGCTCTTAAATTTTCAACCACAAAAACACCTCTGAGTTATAATAATCTCTACTGCAAATTCAGGCTTGGTAGGTTTTTTATGGGATTAACCGGTAAACGATCACACAGATCATCTGATGGTAACCAATTGGCGTCGCCCATGGAGACCCGGAACACCAGAGGCGTTACGAGTGCGTTACCGGTCTTATGGGGATTAGAATTTGAGGATTGTTGGGGATTCAGGGATTGGTGAGATCGGGGATGGGAGGCGGGTACTTGGGCCTCCGATACCCTCACTCACACTACGAAACACAGCAAGCTTATTTCTTGTCGGTTTTCTTTAATGACGTGGTATCACTTCGGTGGGGCTGGCCCATTCGTACCGAAGCATGGCTCACCCACACTTAAGTTTAAGGTTGGTTTATTTCGGGTTGAAATGAAATGACCTTCAAATATTCATTTTTAAAATAATATATAACTCTTCTGGTCTTGCATGGGCACCCTTAATCAGACGATTTACCTGCTTATTTGGTCTCTATGTCTTAAAAAAGAAATGCTAGTATTATGGTTGAAATAAAAAACTTAACGCAAACTTTCTATTTGTTTCAGAATTGGACCTGGACTATCTGGAGCGAGGTGGTGGGGGTACCCTGACAGTGGGCGGGGCTCCGAGCCTGGAGCCCAGTCCCGACAGCCTCGATCTCGTCAAAGTGGTGCTGCTCGGAGCACCTGCTGTTGGGAAAACTAGTATTATACAGGTGAATAGAGATTTGTATTTGTTTATTTATATGTGTACAGTGGCCAGAAAGTTATCTTACTTCAATGTATTTTTATTTGATTTTTGACTTTAGGTATCAAAACAATAAAGTTCAAAAGCTAATAAAGTAATTAAATGGACTATATTGGGATAAAGAGATTATTTAACTGGCCAGGACAAAACACAATAAATTTAGTATATCAGAAACATTATTATCGGCCCAGCTATTGACCATATCGGTAAAAAAATTAAAAGACAGCTATACGTATCTTTAATTCTTACGCGACGCGGCGACTGTCGCGGAATGCTGCTCATGAATATGATCCTCTAGTATGACTTGGAATTAGTCTGGTATCTTGTTGTCAAACAGTTACGTGAGTAACCCGAAAACATACGAATAAGGAAAGACATAACATAACATAAACATCACGCCTTTTATCCCCGAAGGGGTAGGCAGAGGTGCACATTATACCACTGTACAATGTAACACCCACTTTTCACTATTTATGTTATGAGTCCCATGTAATAGGGGGTGAGCCTTTTGCCATATACCGGGCACATTTCCAGACTCCGTGCTACTACTGAAATTTTTAAAAACCCAGTAATAATTTGCCCGACCCTGGAATCGAACCCGAGACCTCTTGATCAGCAGTCGCACTTGCGCCCACTCGGCCAACGAGGCAGTCGAAAGGAATAAGGAAAGCTTTTAATATACACACAGCCTTATCTTTTTTAAACCATCGTTCTTCATTATTCCTCTATGACCAATGTTATATGTTCCTGTTGATTTTATTGGACCGATTTGCATACCTCTATAGACAACGATAAAAAGAACATTCTTCAAATTATTAAGTTTGACAAGTTAGTTACTAATCAATTTCAATGGGTAGTAATAAAAGCTCCGACAAGAAAAGAAGAATTGTCCTTATTGAAAATATTAAATCTACTGCCTAAAATACTAACTTTCCGACTACTTTACATGACTTTTTATTGCTACAATACAAACCTAACCTAACCTAAAACGTCTGTTGTCGGTAACTTAGTAATTTTGTCGAAGGTTCAATATTCTATTCGGAAGTTTAGTTTTGTTATTCGAAGATCCATTTTCATAGTCGGCCACAGATCGCTGGAGATTAATTTGTATTTTGGAACCATTATTATTTTCCAATTTCAATTTAACACTAATCTTAAAAACACCACAAAATATAACTCATTTTCCACTCAGCAACAATACGTAACAGAATAAAGCCTTCAACATTCCACCACCACAAAATATATTCAGAATAAAAGATTACCACCGTCAATGTAGTTCACATACCAATGACTCGACATATTTTCCGATTCATTAGCTATGCGTACGATTTCAGGATTTGAGGCGTGAAAAATGGATCCCACATTACCGCGATTTCCATGTAGCCTTTTAATATTAATGTTAATATACAGAACAGTCGGTAGATAATATTCTGTACGTGGATTTTTGCTATGGAGATCAATGATAAGTAAAAAGGTGTAGATAGGTTACCTAAACCGCATTCGATCTTCATAAATGGCGCACTAAGTGTTTTTATGGCATAAGCCGGTAAACGAGCAGACGGATCACCTGATGATAAGCAATCGGCGTCGTCCATGGACACCTGGAATACCAGAGGCGTTACAAGTGCGTTACCGGCCTTTTGGGGATTAGGGGCGTTGGGGATTCAGGGATTGGGGAGATTGGAGAAGGGGAGGGTAATTAGGCCTCCGGTAACCTCACTCACACGACGAAACACAACGCAAGCGTTGCTTCACGTCGGTTTTCTATGAGGCCGTGGTATCACTCCGGTCGAGCCGGCACATTCATGCTGAAGCATGGCTCTGCCACACTTCAAGTTATGGCTTTATGTATACACACATGAACACTTGTGGAAACAAATAATACTTTCTACGACATATTGCTTTTGAATATAATATATCTACCTGAGCCTTTACAACTGTGAACTCCAACTCGCCAGTTAAATATTGAATTTATGGAATATTGAATTTGCATAATTATTACACAAGCCCATTTTCGCTGAGCTTACTTTTAACCCAAAGGTTGACTGGGAGAAAATGCCATATGGCATTAAGTCCGCCTTATGTACATACCTTATTGTGTGTGCATTAAAGTGTAAATAAATAAATAAAATGCTTTTAAGTGGAGGAGCCATATAGTGCTGTATAGGACTGGACAGGTTATTGTTGATGATGAATGTAGTTCACGTATTAAAAAAATCATACAGTTGTATTGAGACTCTCCTCTTTTTTTTTAAGTCGGTTGAAAAGTTACGTATATGCGTGTCATTCTCATAGGAATTTTGAGTTTACAAAGAGGTTCTATACCATTTTTCAGCATTCTAAAACTAATACTTGGAACCTTATTTTTCATTCTTTCGATTACATAAATCTATTTCATATTTTTATTTGCCTTTGGTTCGTCCTGTAGGTACATTTTCGAAATTTCGAAGACAAATCCATCTTCCAAGAATACATTTTCTTATTTACTCACTTTTTCACGATCCACTAGAGAAAATGCCTCGGGATACAATATTTGATCCGTCGCAACCCAAATAGAAATATAGACTGGAGAGGTTTTAATAAAAAATCTTCAAGTAGACCTTTTAGAAAACTAGGACTTTATATAAGTTTGCAGAAATTGTACAATAGGCTTTCTTTGCATAAAAGAGTATGCTATAAAATGCCAATAATCATTTAAAATAGAAGGACTAAAGATATGACAGACACTGCGTACTCTTTTCTAAAAATTTTAATCCCCAACGATCCTCAAACTCCTAATCCCCAAAAGGCCGGTAACGCACTTGTAACGCCTCTGGTGTTCCAGGTGTCCATGGGCGACGCCGATTGCTTACCATCAGGTGATCCATCTGCTCGTTTACCGGCTTATGCTATAAAAAAACGATCTCTAACCGAGGACGATGAAATAAGACGAATATAGTTTCTAGAAACAACGACCTAGGCGCCTGTCATTTAGTCGCGGAGAACCTAACGGGTAACCGGGGCTTCGGTTCGACGTGCAGGAGTAGGAACGGGGTGGTTTTTAGTCAGTAAGAGTCTGACACTCCCTTCCGCCTCACCCAGGCGGGAGCAGTCATTCGATGATGTTCCCCCCTTAAAAAAAAAGGCGCCTGTCATTTTTTTAGGTCTGGTAACGTAACCCGTAACGTAACGTATATGTACTTTCTAAGATTATTTAGACACCACTCACAAACGGTAAAGAAAAACATAGTAAGGAAACCTGGGCTTAAAATTTCTAATTATTAGTTTGAAATCGCCAACCCGCAATGAGCAAGCGTGGTGATTAATACTCAAACCTTCTACACGTGAGAAGAGATTTGCTCAGCAGTGGGTATTTATAGGCTGTTGATGATGATAAAATGACAGCTCCACTAAAAAATGGCCGATGACATATGACATCTATATGACAATAGTCAACAGTCATAAACGGTAAGGGTTACAGCCATATTCTCGATACTCGATCCTTGTAGGTTCCCTCAAAGCTTGAGTAGGGTTATATTACTCATATTATATGGGAATTCAGATCGTTAATTATCTAGGGCGCAGGTGTAAGTCGTTGGGAATGGAATGTGTAATTAGATTATTTCACATTTGAGTGGAGTTAGTGTCAGATAATAATTTTAGTAGTGTGAGTTGATATAGTGTTTATGAATGAAGGTTTTTTTTTTTAAAAAAACATTGCCCCACATTAGGATTTTCTCCTGTGTCGTGGGTGCGTTTACAAACATACAAGTTCACATACAAATGACACCCAGACCCGAAACAACAATTTGTGGATCACACAAAGTGTTGTTCCGTGCGGGAATCGAACCCGCGACACGTTGCACGGCAGCCGGTTGCCCAGCCACCGCACCAACCGTGTAGCCAAAGCAGCCAGGTTTTATGTTTCTGTAGTGTGTAATTAGTGTTAGGTATTTGATAGTTTTATGTATACAATTTCATCATCAACGTCCTATAAGTGGCCACTGCTGTCCAAAAGCCTCTTCTCGCATGGAGAAAGTTCGAGCATTAATCAGCACCCTTGCTCAATGCATGCAGATTGGCGATATCAGCCCAGGCTTCCTCACGATGTTTACCTTCACCGTTTGTCAGTGGTGTCTAAATAATCTTAGGAAGTATATATAACTCGGTAAAAGTCACATTTGGTTCGTGCTGTCGGTAGGTCTCTTAAACGTCCGGGCCACCATGAGGACAAGTTTGATCATCTTTAAAACTAAATTGTCCATTTTGAATCATTTTATGATCATTTTATTCTTATACCTACTCCTCAAGATGAATACAATGTAGTGTAGATGTAATTGTAGATAATGGGTATACGTAATACCCATGGTTTTAACCACCATGTTAAAACAATGTCACGATTACACTGGTTTCGATTACGATTACACGATTACACTGTTACACCGGTTCTTGACACCATTATCTCATTTTTGACTAATGTTACGAAGAAACGCCTACACTAACAAAATTTTCAGGTCATTCATCTTATTCGGATCAAACTTAACCTTGGACAGAACTATAATCAATTCTGCGAATATCTGTTTTGACCTTATAAAATTTTATTGAATTTGAATTATCCCATTCAATTTTATTGTAATAAATAAGCATTTATTTTGTACTGTCACTTACATACGTAGACAAATCTGTTAGAATTTACCTCTAAATTCATTTTCCAAAAACACTTCAATACCCATTTTAATTTTAATTCCATTCAACTTGACTGACAGTTAAATAAATAGCTTTCAGATATACTAGAAAATGTCTAATACATTTTTATTTGTTTATTATCTCGTCATTCCCTTTATGAAATAAATATACATATAAAACATGGATCGACGCAACAGAGGCACCTAAAACAATACGTCAAAATGATTGATTGTCTGCCTGTCCAACATTATTTTTCTCAAACAACGTGTGCGTTGTTATCATGTCATTATTTCTCTGTTCCATTATTTTTGATTACATTATTTTCTCATATATTTTTCTTGTTATGTTTTTCGTGTTTTCTCGATATTATATTAGCATTATTAGCTAAAATATTTTTCCCTAAAGTATAATTAAACCAAATGTGTGCCAAATATTTTGTGATTATATTTTTCTTATATATGGTCAGTTTCTATAGAGTATTCTATCAATATGGCTACTAAAGATAAAAAGAATGTGTCAACATTTCATTATAGAGTTTATTAATCTTATTTCTTGAGACAGGTCATTAATTTTCTCTTCTATACACACTAATTACGCTCTCCACAAAAATGTTACCAGAATAATTCTGTCAGTTACTTAGTAGCAGAAAAGGTAGCATTATTATTTTTGTAATAAATGAAATTCCAGCCATATGGTGACGACAGGTAGAATATATTAGTTGCCTTGCTCTTCCTGCGAATTTCGTCAGTATCGACCAAAAGATACAAAAAACTAGATTTAACAGAGACCGAGTACTACTAGAGTTCATACATATAAAGGTAAACTGTGATCTTTAATGCACTTGAGAAGCATGGACACTATGGCCAACCCTTCTTATATCGAGAAGGCCTACAATCACCAGTTGACTCTTATGTTATTGATGATGAAATATATATTATAAAGTTGACTTTAACATAAACCAGTCATCAAAATCAAGTCAACGAACCATTTTGCTTCCAAAATGCTAGTCGAGGTACCAGGAGCACATAAGTGTGTTAGAGCTTCACAGCACGTACACTCAACACGTGCTGAAAGGCTGGCCACTAGAAAAGTGATGAGTTAAATTTTTCCGATAGTGCGCCAGCTACGCTGCGATAACAAGCACTGTTAACTTCACCCCCTTGTGGAAGTGGTTAGAAAATCTATAGGAGAAATAGTAAGTAAAAAGGCTGCTTGAAATGTTTATAGAATCAATGGCGATCTCCGTAAGAAATATATACACTGAAATACAATAATGACAACAAAAGTCCAAAAATGTAATAAACCTCAAGCGATTTTTTTACAAAAATACTAGTCAAATTACCAGGATTATATAAGTATGATAAAGCTTAACACTCAACACGTGCGACAAAAAAAATCAATTGTTTAAAAAAATAAAATCTATCCTCAAAAGATTTCCTTCAAAAACCTCACTCAAACTATCGAAGTACCAGGACCATATAAGTACAATAGAGCGTGCGGTTGCTTGAGAAGTGATGAGTTAAATTTTTCCGATATTTTCAACCTCGCTTCTCTACGAAAGTGGTTAGAAAATAACCCAAGATGTGGGTAAAATTTTAGAAAAGAGGTTTATTATAGAGTTATAACCAATCGACTGGTAATAACGATATATCGAGTGAAATAATTTGTCTAACCTTCAGATTAGCTCGCTTTAGTTTTGTTTTACTTGGGTTTCGTTCGTGGCGTGTGTAAACTGTGTATTGAATGAAATGTTAGCGGTTAGAAATTGATTTTGAACTGTGAGTTTCTTTGCGTATTAGTTTTAAAAGTTAGTTAAAAATATAGTGCTAGTTTTTTTAGCTCTCGCAGCAAATAGTTTCACAGATTTCAATTATTTGCTTCAAAGAATTTCATATGAAAATAGCCAACAGCTTTGTATTTTTGTGAACTTAATAAAAACGAACTACAATTTTGCTTTACCAAAGATATCAAACCAGAACACCAACATTCATTCCGAAACTTCTCTCACTCTTATTTCTGAAACCTCACGTAATGCAATATGACATTTTCAAATATGTACATACATGTGTAACTAGCTGATCAAATATTCTATGAATATTTTACTAAACCATATACTTCAGGCTACCGTGGCATACATACATATAGCGTTAACTTAAAATGAGTACGATTTGCCTACTATTGAAATACAGAGTAAAGGAATTTCAATATTTATTTCAGTTAACTAAAAATCGTGGGTTACTCACGTAATAATACTGAAAATAAAGCTCTAGTTGTGTACGCTGCGCTACATCGCCGCGACCGCCCACGCTGCTCATGAGGAAGAGCCCCTCTATGGCTCGAAATTGGTAGAGCTTTTCTCAGTAAGATACTGAGTGACACGTGAGTAACCCGTGATTTTTAGTTCATTTAGTATGTCTCACGATAGTTACCATAAAAACATTTCTTTCAGTCATTCAAATTAGTAAATATTGCTTTTTACTGCCATTCAAATAAACTATTGAGACTGTGAAGATACAAACCAGTTGTAAGCTAGTCTTATAACTAAAGCTCATACTAATTTTAAATGCTACCCCACATAAGTTCGCATAAATATACGTATGTGTATGTAAACTTGTTCGTTTGTAAACGCACCTACGCCACAGAAAAAAATCCTAGAAAGGGGCAACGTTTTTTTTAATAAACGAATTTGTTATTTTATCCAGGAGACAAACTTATTTTAGAAGAACTATGTAATGTAAACTAAACACACGTTCAATAACCAACATATACACACACAAAACTTCAAACACAGATGTATGTACCATATAGGTCTGTGGAAAGTTTGAAAACAACTGCAATTCCATTTACCTCAGAACACCTGGGCGCTAGTTTTGTCCTGTTTGTTTGTTTGTTTGTCATGAATAAACTTTGTATGTTCTGATACAAAGTCAAATTTTGTGATCGCAATATGTGGAGTGAGTGAGATTTGCATTTAGATAATTTTTGTTTTGTAGAAACATTGGTTTTGTGAAAGTCTAGCCCGAATTCTGAAAAGCAATTTTAAATTGTACTTAAATATCGTGCCATCTCTTTAATTTTACAAAAAAAATGTAGCGATAGAACTTTCCTTTTATTTCTTTTCTTTATTTAAAAACGTTTCCCCACATTAGGATTTTCTCCTGTGTCGTGGGTGCGTTGTACAAACATACAAGTTCACCTCCTGACCTAATGAAAATGGGACCATCTCAGGAGTATACCCTTTCAAACAAAGCAAGAATTTTAGAAATCGGTTGTCAAATGGCGGAGTACTACGCGAACAAACAAAAAAAAAATCATTTTTTTTGAAGTCGGAAAAAATTTAATACTAATGAAAATAATAGAACGGTTTTTTATTTTAACCCGACTTTGAAAATTGTACTTCAACTTTGTATGTTTATTATTTATCTGTTACTTTAAATCATAATCATACACACAAAGTTTTTCCATTGTATAGCAAATGCAAACACATTTCAAGTCAAACAGAAACAGGTCACAAAAGAGTACTGAATCTACTCCCCTAGGAGCAATAGCTAAGTTCCTCGCGCCTAACTGTCAAAGTTACTGCCCGTGTCGCACACTTGATGTCGGGTCGTCACCCCGATAACGACACATCCGGGCGAGGTGAGGCACAGCTTATACGGTGATTAATGAATCCAACCCAAATCCATCTTAGTCACTTTACAAAACCCCTTTTAAAAACCGTTTTCCTTTTCCTTGTTCGCAGCAATTCGTGTGGAGCGATTTCTCGGAGGAGTACGTGCCAACCGACCGTAAACATACCTTCTACCCTTCGGTGATCATCAACGAGCATTTATATGAAGTCAAAATTACGGACGTTCCAGTAATACCGTACTTCCCAATAAATTCATACTACGAGTGGGCTCATTACCGTTTTTATGGGCTCAGAAGCGCTACAGCCTACATCCTAGTCTTCGATTTATCTAACGTTGAAACTTTCCAGTACATACGAACTTTGAGAGACCAAATGGTGGAAAGTCGGGACATGAGAAATGTACCAGTGTTAGTGGTCGGCAATAAACAGGACCTACTGTGTAGTAACACTCCGTCAGCAGCGAGTGGACTTCAGCAACTTGCGATAGCTGAGAGCGCTTGTGGAGATTCAAGAGAGAAGAGAAGAAATATCGTAAACTTAGTTCGTAAGCACTGGAAGTGTGGCTACGTGGAGTGTTCAGCTAAGTATAATTGGAGAGTTATAGCTGTGTTCAAAGAGCTCATGGAAATGATAGACGCTCTCGAGTGGAGTGGTGGAGGTAGAAGCTCGGAGCCACCGCCCGACTCCTCGGCCGGCGGGAGTACACATGAGACTCGGTGCGTGATTGCTTAGCACAGTTAATTACTTTGACCCTTCCCTTGATTATTTTAATAGAACCATAAACATGGCTCTTAAGAAGTCTTTACAAGATTACTTTGTCCCATAATTCTTTGTTTATAAAATCCAATTTAATTAAGTAATGGAAGTTGTGAAATTTCAACGGGGTGTTTGTATATTTTACGGTTTTATAATTGACCGTTCACTGCTCGTCTGCAGGTTTTGCAGGTTTACATCAATTGGGAAAGTTGCACTTGAAAACTTTCGATGGGCCTCGTTTGTGCAAAATCCAATCTAACCCTCGTAAAATTGGTCCATAATTCATGTAACTTCGAACCAATTTGAAAGTTGGTTACTAAAAGTTAATTCGTTTTATAGCATTGTCTTTGTATTATTATCTGTTTTAGTCTGTTTCACCTTGGCTTAAGGTGTATGCGATTTCAAAGATCCTCTTAAACTAAATATAAACTGTTTTTGGTTCTATTGAAACAATCAAGTCCACTTCATGTCTAAACGCACACAATTTAGAAGTAATGAATGCTGTTAATAATGCGAATGTTTAATGTTTCAAAATGGTTGTATGCGTAGTAAATATTGTTACATAATTTCGTATTCCCATCACAGTTATTGGGTCAATAACCAATTCAGATGACGCAATTCATGGAACTATAGGACAATTGTGGAATAATAATCGTACAAACATAAATAATGGACTGATTACACATTGATCCCTCTCGAACCAATAATGAAACCGTAATAATTCATTGTATTAGAGAAAAGCGGTTTCCACGAATGATTTGTGCCAAGACCAACCCCAATTATGACATACGAAAAGAAATATTAGACTTTTTTGGCTGAATATAGCTTTGGACTTGAACACAATCTATTGCCGTTGTTTTAACGTTATCAATATTTTTCTTCCTTGAATTTACTTCGAAAATTGTTGATACTTTTTCAAGCATCACAATGAAAGGTTTTATCCTATAAAATAACTTTTCTGTCAAAAGCCACAATGACTTCAATGAATTTCAATTTCCAACGCTTGTTGGTATTATTTAAATTACTGATTAAATACCGGAGAATTCAATTTATTTTGGGCTTTGTAGAAAGTGGTTTCGCAAATGATGTTATAACATGAAATGAATATAAAATGAAATTGATATTGGTTGAACAGTTTAAACAAAAGCTCAATTATTTCTGGTGCCTGTGTATCTCTGTTTATTGAAATGAGTTGATATTCATTATCGTTGCTGCGAATTTTGTTAATTGTATTCTGTTTATATTCTATTTCATCAAAAATATCTGTAATTTGAATCTTTATGTTAACTCATCTCTTCGTAGTAAGTGGAAAAAATGCTTCAACTTCTACAAAATGGTTGTCTAGAGCCCCAAAATTTTCTTCATAGTTAAGTAATATTTTTGTAATCAAGTTTCATGGTCCCACCGTAATAATACGCCCTTCTAACAATATGTAAGCTTTAACTTATTCGTGTATTAAATTTATTTCAGGGTACTTTTACACTTTTCTACTAAGTCTTCGATATCTAGTTACTGTTTAGAGTCTCGGCATACCTGATAAGTTGTGAATGTTGCGTGTACAATTTTATAGATTAAATAATGTGTAACTGACTCATTAAGATCTGTAAACGAGAGATTTTTATCATCATTTCTATCTTTAGTGTTACTTTCTTTTACTTCTTTAGCTAATGTTTTAGAATCATTAGTTACTATTTCATTTCTATCTTCTATGATATTTGTAAATGGTTTTGTATTATGTTCTTCAATGAATAGTAGTTATCATACACCGAATTCTTCTAGTCCTATAATGACTCTGTGTTGTGCTTTTTATGAATGTGCTTCCTCTATCTCATGTTGTTTGTAAACAATTTCTTTATTAGCATTAGGAACAACCCTAACGTTGTAAAATAATATATTTACAATTTGTTGCGTTTTATAGTTATTAGAATATTTTTTACAATTTTTATCGAGATGTTTGATAAACAATAAATTTGGGTGGAAATGAGAAATGTTATCTAAGATTTTGAGAAAAGAGAGAAAATCTACTAAGATATTAATTGTATAATGAAGATGTAAGAAATTGGGCGAAGCTAATATTTCTCAGTTTGACATGAACTTATAAAATATCATTTTAAACAATAAATATTGTATAAATTGCTGTGTGAAGTTAGAATTGATAGGCAATAGTTATTTACTGTTAAATATTATTGTAATTATAATTATTAGAAAAGTGAGGAATTAGGTAACACGTGAGTTAAATAATTGCCCATTAATGCAATCGGTTAGGATACAAATGTCAAAGTCACTGTCACTTTGACACGTGTCTAATTTGACAGTTAAACATTTTGAAACTTGTGACGTTCGTTGGCGAATATTTAGAATATTTGGCAGGAAAAGAGATTTAAATTAAGTTATGTCTTGTTACCTGTCACATTTTTTTAAATTTGGAATTAACTTATTGTTTTTTTTTTATATGTGTACCTACTAGAAGACCAAAATTGTTAATAGCAATGAAGAAAAATTTTGTTTAAAAACTATTTTATTTAAAACATCTTATGTTCCCAGTGTTTTTCATAGAGGCCAAAAATTTGTATATTACTGCTGTGTGACTAGAAAAACAAATGTAAGTAAGTTTAGGTATCGTTATACAAATGTTACACGGTGCAATAAAAACGTTGTGAACGATTTTAATTTAAAGTTTTACTTTAACTCATATTTCCCTTTTTCATTTCCTTATTTCGCTACATGTAAACAGGAATTATCAAAAGTTTTGGCTGTAAGTCTACGTAAGTATACTTTTTTTTTAAATGGGACAAGCCCGTCAGAACCTCCCAAAACCGCTGCAACTCCTGTAAGCCAGGATCTACAGTAGATATAACCATGAATACACCGGAACATTGGAGTCCGGCGCGTCTCAGGGATATGAATAACTGTCTTGGTTCCCGCAACGCAGTGAATCAGAAGATATTATAATAGGAGAAGAAGAAAAAACTATAGTTTTCACTACATAAGTATACTGAACAATATTTAAAACATTAGATTAATCCTCGTTGGCCGGGTGGTCGCAAGTGCGACTGCCTGGCAAGGGGTCTCGGGTTCGATTCCCAGGTCAGGCAAAGAATTACTGGGTTTTTTTTTTTAAATATTCTTAGTAGTAGCACGCAGTCTGGAATTATGCCCGGTATATGGCAATATGGTCAACCTCTATTACATGACTTATAACAAAAAATAGTGAAAAGAGGGCATTACACTGTACCGTGGCATTAAGTGCCATAATAGGTATGCACATGCAGGGGTAGGCAGGTTCTGCCTACCCCTAAGGGGGGATAAAAGGCATGATGTTATGTTAGATTAATCCGAATTCCACATAAAGAACTTTCGAAAAAACGATACCAACCAATTACGTACCCGATCCCGAAATTGAACCCAAGACCTCTTGCTCGGAAGTCACACTTCCATTACTTGACCATCAAACTGTATATTGCTTTAAAACTGAAATCTTCGATAATCGAGAAACCAAACCATATTTAGGCAGACCTCACAGTCAAACACGACATCGACTGCACGACTGCGGGTTCGATTCCCGCACGGAACAACACTTTGTGTGATCCACAAATTGTGGTTTCGGGTCTGGGTGTCATTGTGTATGTGAACTTGTATGTTTGTAAATGCATCCACGACACAGAAGGAAATCCTAGTGTAGGGCAAAGTTTAAAAAAACAGGCTATAAACATCTAACAATGTGCAATTTTCAACAACTGTTTTCGACCCTTATCGTTGGGAGCCAGGTAGAATAAATTAGGGTTAACAAATGAGTTACCCTTACCCCACTTTTTACGGGGACAACTAAATAAATGTCAGTTTGCCTACTTCCCTAGCTTTTTGCCTACACATTTATTAATTTGAGTAGGTAAATGGTTTGTGTCACCGTTTTTCATTTGTTTTTTTGGTTTGTTTGAAAAATTACCTCGTTTCCTTGACGTGTCTTTGTTATGTTCATTAATTGTGGTTTTATTTATTGTTTCAAGAAAAATGCTCTCTAAATATGTATAAGTAACTAGCAACCCGTCCCGGCTTCGCACGGGGTAGACAATTATTTATTTTTGGAAATTTGGATTGTTGTAGTGATATAACTACAATAGTTGGACATATGCTACCGCGGAGTTTTTATGATGTTCTTCAATATTGTTGTACATTATTTTGTTCTATCGCTAATAGTTTCGGCAGCGCATTCGTCGAAAGACATTTTAAGACTCATTTTTTACACCTTCGGTAACATTGTTCAAATTTTACCAAGGATCCCTAATATTAACATACAAAAATAGGTGCAAATCTTTCCTCTTTATAATATTAAGTATAGATTATAAGTTTGTCGAATGTTAAGTTACGCGCAGTGGACTTTACCCTGTAGCTGTAGGACCGATGGTTGAAATTAGCTTGATTCGATATTATAAATGTAAAAATTGTGAGGTTGTGTGTATTTGTTACTTAGTCATATCAAAACGACTGAAGGGACCGGGATGAAATTTGGAACAGAGGTAGATTATGGTTTGGAGTAACTTATAGCCTTTTTACCCAATGGAAATGTGGGCAAAGCCGCTTGCAGAAGCTAGTTACAAAATATATTGGTACTAGCTTTTACCCGCAGCTTCGCTCGCGTCACAAAAGGATAAAGAGTAGCCTATGTGACATATACCAATACACACAGCCCCGTCTATACCAATAATTTCGTTTTCCCTCGAAAATATATTTTTTTCCGGGATAATAAGTACCCTATTATTTAATCCAGACTTCTAACTTTCATCATCATCATCAACAGCCTATAAAATGCCCACTGCTGAGCAAAGCCTCTTCTCACACGGAGAAGGTTAGAGCATTAATCACCACGCTTGCTCAATGCGGGTTGGCGATTTCAAACTTATAATTAGAAATTATAAGTCCAGGTTTCATCACGATGTTTTTCCTTCACCGTTTGTCAGTGGTGTCTAAATAATCTT